CAATCTTAATCCATATTTAATGTACCTCCCTTTTGTTTTTCCTCTGTTTTGTTTCTTCAGTGTAGAAAGGAATAAATTGAGACTCTTGAAGCTTTATTACAGTTAGGCAGCAAGAAGAGTAGGCAAGGATTCTTATACCTACAATTATCAAGAAGCTGAAGAGAGTATCTCAGTTGTCTGTCTGGGATGACCGTTCATGACTAGGTACTACTATCCAAGGAAAGAGGCCATGGGGTCATGTGGCCTCTGACGTTTCATTCTATAGGACTCCATTTCCTTTTCAGTGGGCTCCAGAGTTTCATATACACTATTATAAGGCTGTTTCCTCTCATCAATCTGCGTGATCTCCTTGACTTGAAGAAGGTGGGCTTCCTCTGCATTCAAAGCCTTTTTCAATTTTTCCTGTTTCTTTTCCTCATCATCACTCTCTGAGCTGCTCCTTTGGTGCTTCTGTTTCTTTTTTTTCTCTTTTTTTTTTTCTGGTGTATCTCCATGAAGGTTTGAGGTTTTTTTCATAGATTGTTCTCCACTTATATCATTTGTAATGCATTCCTCTGAATTAATGACCTCCTTCCCAGCTTCCCCTGTACAATAGGAATACTTGAAAAATGAGTGTGGCAGCATTTGTATCCCCATTTGCCTTCTTTCCAGTAAGATCCCCAGATATGTGTGTGATTGTTGATCTTGACATCTTCCTCATACTTGGAGCAGGCAGTGGCCTGTTCCTGTCCTTGGTACATGACTGTGCCATGCCTTGAGTACTCCACATAGTGTTCAGTCTGGGCTAAGAGCATTTCAACTGGAGGTGCATCTGGGTGTTCTTGGCCACCATACTTTTCCAGCATGTTTTCTTTCTGCTGTTCTTTGAAATCTTCTTTTTTGACTTTGAAGGACTTATACAAGCTCTGGTTTTGTAGGATCTGCCTGTAGATGAACTTCGGATCCTCTGTCATAGGCTTCCCAAGCAAACAGCTGTGTCTGAGCCATTGAAATCTCCTGTGTAGCTAACGAAGTTATTCCCTGCATAACTCACTTCATCTGGATTCTTTCCTGCATTGGCATATGGATTCTCTCTCATTGCTCTAGTTTTTGGGTAATAATAGGCAGAATTTGGATCCAAATTTCTCAAATATTTTGCAGTATCTTCTAGAATCCTGAGTAATTTGTCTCTTAGAGTCAAAATTCTGTCCAGGCATGTCAGTGTCATCTGCATATTTATCTTTATCCTCATCTTTACTGTTATGATCTTTTTCCATCTGAGAATTTGGTTCCTCTTCTCCCAACTGGTGTTTTGGAGAATTGGCTTGTTCTGCTAATTTTTCTGAGGCTAATTCTGCTTGGAGTTTCTGGCTTTTGTTGTTTGTTTTGCCCGATCAACTTTGGCATACTCTTCCACGATTTTCATGTGTTCTTCCAGATTATAGCCATTCCACCGATCTCTGTTCCCATCATAGTCAAATATCAACTGGGAGTGGATGTGTTCATCAGGAGCTGTATTAGTACCTATAAATTTGGCTCCAACTCACCTTGGTCTCTGAAAGCAGTCTTTCTTTTTGTGTGTCATGGCTGCACAGTTCTCACATGCTCCTTTGCAGTACTTAGAAGTTATGGAATTTTCTTTTACACTTCTCTTGTACCATTCTCCAGATGAACTGAATTGCTTTTGTGTTTTCTGGTTGTGGTCACTGATGCTTTAAAGTAGGTTTTTTTTTGATGGCTCAATCTACCACAGCTCTGAAGAAATATACTGAGGAATATGAGGATTGATGTTTCCCTTCTTCATCAACTTCAGCAGGAGCATTGCCCAATTTTTGCTGTTCTTCTAACTCCTTCTTTCTTCAGTCTTCTCTGGTTATCTTCTTTGGTTCCTCCAAATTCATCTCTTTGGACCCTGACGGGGGCGCAGTGTATCCACAGTTGCTGCCGACAAGATATCGGGGCTTCCCATTTCAGCGGCGGACACCAAAACCAAGGTAGTTAAGCTGTGAATGTTTACTTCTGGGCTCTCTGCCTTTTCCCACAGCCACTGTGGTAACATCCCAGTAGTGTTGTATCTTCAGATTCATTAAATCAGTATTAAAAAAAGTTTCCAAACTTTCCCAGAACCTTTCACATATGTTTACCTAGATATTTAAGTGCCATTAAATTGGTTAATAATATTTGTATTAATTTTATTCTTTTTTTGATATGGTGGTACTGGAGATTGAACCTGGCATGTTCTACCACTGAGCTACATCTCCAGCCCTTTTAAATCATTTTTTACATTTTGAGACAGGGTCTTCTTACTAAGTTGCCCAGGCTGGACGTGATTTGTGATCCTCTTGCCTCAACCTTCTGAATAGCTGGGATTATAGGTGTGTGTCACCATGCCCAGCTTACTTGATTTCTTTCCCTTTCCGTTTCCCCCTCTCTCCCTCTCTTCCTCTCTCCATCTTCCTCTTACTCTTTTATTACTTTTATTAGTTTTACAAGGCTGTATAATAAATTACCACATAATGCTTTCTAAGGCCAGAAGGTTGAAATCTAAGTAAACACAGGATTGGTTCCTTCTGGAGGCTCTGAAGAAAAACCATTTTATTCATTTTTCCTAGCTTCTGATGACTTTTAACAATCCTTGACAGTCCTTGGTTTATACATCACTCCAATCCCTGCCTCCATCTTCTTTTTTTTTTTTTTTTTTTTTTTGCTTCAGGGATTTTACTTAGGTTTGTGCGTTTCCTCACACCCTGATAGCCTGCCTCTTCCAAATGGGCCCCTCCCTCTTTTTTTTTTTTTTTTTTTTTTTTTGGCATCAGGGATCTAACTCAGGACCTTGAGCTTGTGAAGTAGGCCAGGCACCAAAATCCCTGGCCCCCTGCCTTTGTCCTGCACCTCTACACATCTCAAATTTCCTTCTCTTTTTTTCTTACAAGGATACCAGTAATTGGCTCTAGGGCCTACTGTAAATGGCATCATCTTGAGGTCCTTTAATTAAGGATTTGTTAATCCTATACCTTATTTCCAAAAGAGGTCATATTCTTAGTACTGAGAGTTAGTACTGGGACCTGTCTTTTAGAGAAATAGAATTCAACCGATTACAGTGTTGTTATAAGGTAGCAATAATAAACAGCTGACCTTTATAATGTGTACTGTATACCAGAAATTACATGACATTAACTCATTTAACTCTCCAGACAATCTTGTGAGGTAGATACTACTATTATTCTCTTCTTTTTGCTGCCTTTTGTTTTGTTAATCATATCTTGTGACTATTTCTAGTCTACTTCAAAAAAATCTGAAGCCTATATTAAATTATTCTGGGTAGCATGAGTTCTAAAATTTTGTCCCTAAATTTTAGTAGATAAAGGAAATGACTTCTGAAGTTTACAAGGAGGTGAAAAGGTAATCCTTTTTTATATCTAAACCTGGAAAAATATGAGAATTCATGAACTATGTATATTTTTTTTTAGTATTTTAATAGTGTATATAACATGTAGTGGAAATTTGGGCTTATTGTGACAGTCTGGGCAGAAGAAATGTTTTAAATGTTGAAGTCCTATATTGCAGTTAATCTATTTGAAACTTTACTTTTAGTCTGATTTTCATGCTAGCAGAAAATACCCAAGTCTGGGATTCTGGGCTCTGTGCTGAATAAGAAAATGGAAAATAACTATGGAGCAGCTAAAGAGGAGAGAGAATTAAAAGTGTATTGAGAGCTACAGGAGAGCTCATTTCACTGATACTTGTGTATTTCTATTACAAGATGGTTCAGTATATGTGTTGAGGGAATGTGTGGACTAGTGTAGCTATAAGGCTGTCACATAAAACTTCAGGTCAAAAAGTACAAAACTGGCATTTCTTTAGGATAGAATTTTCCTATCACATATTGAAGACTATGCTAGTGTTTTTGTACTCCAAGGGTTAATTCTCTAATTGTAGCTCAAAATGAAGTAATTTGCTTTAGTAAAATGGTTCTGACAAAAATTCTTTTAAGCTGAGAGGAATACTAAACTCATTTTTTAATTCTTTCAGCTTGTTCCCATTTGCTTTTTGTCTTTAGATGACATACTTGTAAACAGAATGGATTAGTCTTTCTACTAATTAGTTATTACGCTGAAGCATGTATACTAGTTATTACATTGCTACAAAGACCATGAGGTCAAAAATCATGACATAGTTTACCTACAGCACTCTATGCCATTAGTTTAGAAGCCCAAAATCATTATATATTTATAATTATCAATATTTTTATAGATGGGACAATTGAAATTTTTACAATATAAAAAATGATTTTTTTCTATGAAAAAATGGAAATAAAGTGTTTGTTAATGGGGAGGGGAGGAGGGGATGAAGGGAGGGCAGGGACAAGGGGAAAAAATGAGAACCAAGACCTGTCATGTAAAGGTACAAGATCCCAATAATGAATGTAACTGTACTATATACCTAGAATGTACCAATAAACTCAATAAAAAGAAAAATAAATTAAGTCTTTTTAAAGCAGAAAAAATATCTAAAGTGAGTTATCTGCAAAGTATGTATTAGTATTACCCCCACTTATTTCTAACCTCATCTGGTATCTCCTCCTTGCTGACTACTTACCAGTAACATGACCTTTTAATGCCTTAAAATGGCTAAATTCCATTTTACTGCAAGGCTCTGACAAATTATATTTCTTTGTCTACTCTACCTTCTAGTCTTTTTTTCATTTGGGTCACCCTTTTAGGTTTTAGCATAAATGATACTTCTTCAGGTATATCCTTTCTAGAAAACTCATTGGGTTAACCAGATTTCCTCTTTCTAGACTCACATTTCCATTGTATAACTATTAGTTTATAAGTAGGTAATTTGGGACGTAAGAGATGTGTCTGTTTTGTTTGCTCCTGTATCCCCAAGTAAATAGTTGTGACTCAGTAAATATGTATTGAATTAGTGTAAGCAGACTTTATATTTTCATCTTTTGTTTTCTGTGGTTAAATATATATACCTTTTTTTCATTCAAGTAAAATGTTAACTTTTTTCTTCTCAAGAGTTTGGCCGAATTGGAATTGTTATGTACTCACCTCTACGTAGGGACTGATCTTTCACAAAGAATAAAGGCTGAGAAAGCACTCTTGGAACTTATCAACAGTCCAGAATGTCTCAGCAAGTGTCAACTCTTATTAGAACAAGGAACAGTAAGTATTTGATAACGTGAATCAGTGTTAATGAACTCCTGTGTATTAGCGCTGATACTAATGCATTTTGCCACTTACAAAAAAAAAACTATTATTTCAGTGTCACAGAGATCAGTCAGGGAAAGAATTGGAAGTCTAAGTAAGCATATTTAGGGAAGAGCCTGGAGGTAGAAGTGGGAATTAATTGAAAGAACTTCTTGACTCCTCTTTGCCCCTTTTCACTTCTAATATATTAGTGGGTAAAAATTCCATTTTAGAAAATGCTTTTTAAAAATCTAACTGGTAGAGATAGATTGTCAATAAAAACCATGGAAAGATTATTCGGAAGAATGCTGACTGACTTTTGTCTGTCTTCTAAATATTTGTGACTATTCATTAAGTGCCATTTAACGTGTACTGTACTTAAATATAAAATCAGGCATTATACTACTGGCTTGGTTTATGGGTATGAATGAAAGTTGTTCATTGTTTAGTTGCAGGGGCATAGATGTATAAGTAAAGAGATATAGGATGGTACAGTAAACACAACAGCAAGCTGTATAATTTAGAGCAGAGTTGGCAAACTTTTTCTGTAAAGGGCCATTTAGTAAATATTTCAGGCTTTGTGGGCCAAGAGGCAAAATGTTTTAAGTGTGTATTTTCTAAGTATGCATATAACAAGAGAGATAAACAAATGTCCACAAAGTTCAATTGGAAATTTGAAATATAATGATTAAGTATAGTTTTTTTGTAATACAGGTCTGTTAAGGAAAAGAATAGAATAATTCTGAGGATTTGGGGGATTAATTGAAGTTCAAAGTTTGTGTTTCCTGTCAACATTGATTACAAGTTTTCATTTTAATGCTGATCTGTAATGAAATTATACATTTTTCATCTTTCAAATGTCTTTTTATGTAGATAGGTACTGCCAAATACTAATATTAATCTATGAGCATAAGATTTTAATTAAGCATATTCATCACTTAGAAGGCATTTATAGAATTCTATTAAATCTTCTCTAGATACTTGCCTTTCCAGCATGTCATTACATTACAGATTAATGACTTCCAATTGAAGATTAGGTAGAATTGCCTCAATTGCACAGCTAAATGGATTTTGAAATAGAGAAATTTTCTTTATACTTGCATCAAGGACTAAACAGTGCTGCTGGAACTATAGTTGAAAGTCAGAAAATACATCTGGGAGTAGAGATCTCACTACTTGTTTTAACTTTGGCAGTGTAAGAAATGTGTAAAGCAGCTTGACATTACTTATGATTCCAAAAATGTTAGTTGTTATTGAAATGACTGCTGTAACATTAGTCAATTATAGTCATTCTGTATATAAGTAGTACTAAGCACTGTTTGTTTATTAGGTAATTTTATAATTACAGATTGAATTCATTAAGAGAAATTGTCAAGTTTATAGCTAAGAGCAATTTCCAAAGCCATTTAATATTGAACAGTAGAAGCTTTTTCTTTTTATCTAGAAAAATTTTATTCTCAGCCCTGAGCTAAAGAACTTAGTTTTAGCACTGAGGAAATATTAAACCACTGTGTGATAGGTAGGACAGGGCAGGATAATCAACATCTTTATCTTGCAGAAACTCACAGAACTGAAGCTAAGGTAAAAAATAATGAATGGATTTAATTGTTAACACCCTTGATTTATTAATTTATGATAGATTCACATATTTACCACATATCTTTTAATGAACAATACTAATTTTTAACAAACTGTGTAAATTTGTCCACCTAAAGTGTTTTCTGCATCACATGTATATACGTATATACATACATAAAAATATATGTATAGATTTTATATTTCTAGTGATTGAGCCCAGAGTGTTGTGCATGCTAGGCAAGCACTCTTCCATTGAGCTACATCCCCATTCCTGCTCCATATATTTTTTTTTTACCACCCGTGCCTAGCAGAGCTACTTCAAGTTATATTGAATTCATTTTTCCTCAATTTGTTTAAAATATTCTGGCTTGTAGTTCCACACAGTCTATTCACAAAAGGTAACTCCTTAGTTGCCTCACACTCAGTATTGACCTATACAATAAAGTGATAGTAAATATTGGTAACATTAACAGTATGAGCATTATTAGTAACATCTGTCCACTCATTGAAAGTTAAAAATACTCTTTCCAAATCATTTGTCTGGTGTTTAAATTGACTTTTGATGTTGCTCTATTATCATCAATTTTTTGATGTTCTCACTAAAAGTTTATTTTCTCTGAACATATAACTAGCTGCTATAATAGAATAATGGTGATTTAGTTAACACATCCTTGTTAAGTGGTTTTCCTTGCTTAGCTAACAAATGAGCTACTTGGAAACTTAACTTTATATATTTTTTTTCCCCATTAAGTTTATTGGTACATTTAAAGCAAACAATAGAGTTACACTTATCATTGGGATTCTGTGCCTTTACATGATATGTCTTGTTATTTTTTCCCCACCCCCCTGCCCTTCCTTCACCCCCTTTACCCTTCTCTATTAACTTTGGTTGCAACCTCATTTTGTTTTTGTAAAGAAATTCTGCTGTGATGACATAGTCTGTTTCAAATTTTCTACTTTTTCTCTTGTCTTTCTGTGAATTAAGAATGTTGTGATGAGTAGTTAGTTTGATAATAAGTATTCTTTTAGGACAATAATAGCATCCTTGCCAAAAGAAAAAAAAAAGCACTTCTTTTTGCCATCTAAGTCAGTACTGTGCCTTAAAAGTTAGAAATTTGAAGTCCACTTTTACCTTGTTTTGATATGATGGATATACATTGGTAGTAATGAAAAGTACATGTCATGTCAGGTTGATACCCATGATATTGTAGGCACTAGGGAGTTGCTGCTGTATTATCAGTACAGTTTATGGTGCACCAAATGGCAGTGGGAAGCAGGAAGTGCCACATTTGGTCTGTCTTTTAACTGTTCAGTTCTGCCATCATAGCTTGAAAGCAACTGTAGATAACATGTAAATTAATATGAATAGCTGTATTTTAATAAACTTTGTAGATGCTGAAATTTGTATTTTATACAATTTTTTACATGTCAAAATAGTTTTAGTTTTTCCCAACTGTTTAAAAAAAAAAAAGGTGATGCAAAAACAGACAGGATTTGGTCCATGGACCATAGTTTACCAACCTCTGGTGTAGGGGGCTGGCGGGGGAAGTACTATCTTGGTAACAAATTGGTGACAAATTTTGAAGGATGAATATGCATTTAGAAAGGCTGAGTATGTGACTCAGCAAATTGAAAGCCAGACAAAACAGTCAGCTACAAGTCTGAGGAACACAGAAATCAAGGTGGGGATGGCATTTAGAGGAATTGAAAGGTTATCATGGTCACACATAGTAAAGAAAGGAACTAGATAAATTTGAAGAGATAGTGAGAGGCCAGGCTTGCAGAATTGTGTAAACCATGATAAGAATATTTTATGTGAACTTGTTCATACTCATTTATTGTTCTTGATTACTTTCTGTTCAGATTGGCTAGCTCTACCTTCCCCAACTAATGATCCTATGTGTGTGTGTCTGTATGTATGTCTGAAATATGTTGTACTCTGTATAAATCTACCATTTCAGAAAAATTCTCATGTTTGCTTAGAAAAAAGTTACTAACATATTTTGATAAGTCTAATTTTGTTTGTGATAAAAAAAATTTAATTACTTTTTCCAGACCTCCTATGCTCAGCTCCTTGCAGCAACATGTCTTTCAAAACTTACCAGCCGAATCACTCCTTTACCTATTGAACAGAGGACAGATATCAGTAAGTGGTTTATTATGTTTTTTAATAAATTGCACTTTAAAAATAGTCTTTTTCTTCTACATATGCTAAACTTTTACCACACTTGAAAATTTTGATTGTATTGTTTTTTTAGTTGAGTTTATTGGTACGATTGTATCGTTTTTTAAAGATAAGTAGTTGTGTCTCATTTATTCACCCAGTGATAAAAATGTGATATAGAGTAATGTATAATCAAGAAAGCATTTGTTAATTTAATAATAATAGCGTTCATTTTATTTATCCTTTTTTTTTTTTTTTTTTTTGGTACCAGGTCCTTGTGCTTGCAAGGCAGGCTGCAGAACCACTGAGCTAAATCCCCAGCCCAATAATGGTCATTTAAATGTGGTTAATATTTGATAAGATTTGCACTCACTTTATCTTCAAAATAAATGTATTCATTATCCTTATTTTGAAAGTGAGGAAATTAGATTTTATAGGCACTGTAAACTAAGATGACACAGGTATGAAATAGTGGAACTGTCTTTCAGTCATACTCAGTCTGCTTGAAGTTCATGCTCTTAACATTATCTTAAGTTGATATGATAGGACAATGTCAGCTTTGCAGTATTTCTCAGGATGACACTTCAGAATGAATTGGGATACAAGTAAAAATCAAAAGAAGACTCCCACTTGTTAGGAAGATAATTTATAAATGTGTAAACAATTCTTAGAAGGTACTGTAGTTGGAACACTCATTCTATAAAATAATATAGTTTTCAGAAGTAATATGTTTTAGGTGTTTGTGTGTGTGTAAGTTTGTATTTTATATGGACAAAGCTCTAGTTGAGGTATAGAATTTCTTTTCTTTTTTGTATTCATAATACAGATTGTTGACTCATTTCTGTTTTTCACCCTCAAGGTAACATAATTTATATTTCTATATCAGAAAAATTGCAATATATATTATGGACTTTTAAGTTCAAATTTGAATATGCCTTATATATTTATTTGACTGCTAGTTTCCTAAGTACCTTGAGTCTTAGATACTTCAGAAAACCTAGAGAAGGATTTATCCATATACTCATCAATTTATTTGCTTAAGAAAGTGAAAGAGAGAAATTCAGTTTTAAAAATGTGTTCAAATAGTAGAAACCTAAGTCATAAACTTGTGATTTTATTTGACTTTCACATGCACAAATTTTAAATAGACTTAATTTTTTAGAGCACTTTGAGTTTATAGCAAAACTGAACAGAAAGTGCATACTTCCTGTATACTCCCTAACACATGCATAGACTTCTCCACTTTCATCATCGTCCTCCAGAGTAGTAATTTGTCACAATTGATTAACTTACATTGGCACATTATTGTTAGTCAGAGTCTGTAACTTACATTAAGGTTACTTGTGTTGTTTATTCTATGGATTTTGGCAGTGTATTATGACACATCTACCAATATAATATTATACAGAATAATTTTTAACAGTCACTACATTTATTAATAGTTCAATGCAAAATTAAGGAATGCCATAGTAAAATAAAGAGATTAATTCATTAAGTTTGTGGTGGTTATATAGAATTAGTTTACTGCCTTAAAAATTCCTGCTGGTCTGCCTGTTCTCTCTCTCTCCAACCTCTAATCTGTATAGTTTTGCTTTTCCAGAATGTCATAGTTGGAATCCTGTAGTATATAGCCTTTACAGATTGGCTTCTTTCTTTTGCTAATGTGCATTTAAGCTTCCTTCATGTCTTTTTAAGGCTTGCTATTGCTTTTTAATTCTGAATAATAATAATGTTTCATTGTTTATCCATTTAAAAATATTTTAGTTGCTTTCATGTTTTTATAGTTGTGAGTAGAGCTGCTACAAACATCTATATGCAGTTTTTTTGTTGGGACATAAATTCCCTGTTTAATTGCATAAATACCAAGAAATATGATTGATGGATCATATAAGATATGTTACATTTTTTAAAAACTGTACAGCTGTATTCCAGATTGTTCCTACTGTTTTGTATTCCCACCAGCCAAATACATTTCTGTATTTATTGGCTCTGAATTCTTTCATCAGTTGTTGCCCATATTCTGGATTTTAGCCATTTAATTAGACCTTTTATTTTATTATAGTTTTGCCATTTTCTTCACGTAGTTCTTATTCATATTTTAGTAAATTTATACCTATTTCATTTTTGAGGTGCTTATCAATTATACTGTTTTTAATTTCAAGTTATACTTGATTATTGTTGATATAAGAATTCTATTAACTCTGGTATAAACATTATACCCTGTAATCTTTCTCTGTAATCTCTCATTCAAAATTTTTGTTATTGTTGATTCTTTTGAATTATTTATGTGGATAAGCATCTCATATATGAGTAAAGATAGTTTTATTTTTCTTCTCTAAATCTTTCATATTGTTGATACAAAATACCCACAAGGAGGAAAGGTTTATTTTGGCTCAGTTTGTAGAGGTTTCAGTCCATAGTTAGCTGGCTCCAAGGTAGGGAAGCATAGCACAGGAGCATCCCTGAGGAGAACAGTTCATGGTGTGGCTGGAACAAGGCAGCAAGCAGGAAATTAGCAAGGAGCAGCAAGTAACAGCAGCAGCCCTCTTTCTGTCCCTTATATTCCATTCAGGATACCCTCAGGTGGTACTCACACCCAAGATGAGTCATCCTTAATCCCAGCATCATGCACCCTAGATCCAGCTATCTCTGAAAACCCTCACCTATGTCTGCGTGAGGCTTTGGGGGGCATCTAGAAATATGCTATAGCATTCTGCCCTTGACCCCCTGAAGACTCATGCACATCTCTTTACGCAAAAGGCATGTAGTCCATCTATAAGAGTTGCGAAAGTCCTAACCATTTCAGCATTGCTTAAAACTCCAAGTCTTAAAGTGTCTTGAGATAGATTTAAGGTAAACTCTTAGTTGTGAGCTGTGGTACAAATGAAAAAATTAAACACTTTCAACATATAACGGCACAAGATATATTTCCATTCAGAAAGGCACAGAGCAGGTGATAGAAAGAAATAAGAACAAAGCAAGACCAGAATCCAGCAGGACAAACATTAAATACCTTAGTTCTATGTCCAGCATCCCCAGCAGTCTGTGGCAAGTTCAGAACTCCATACGTCACTTCTTGGTGGTTGTAGCTTCCAGGGCTTCTCTCTTTAGCAGATTTGCTCACTTGCAGCTCTCCTCAGATGATCCATCCTTGTGGCTTTTCCAACTTTCTGGGGTCACCACTGCACCTTTGCCTTTACATTCACAGCTTGACACACTGCTCTCTCAACGGAACACTGCTTTGCCTCCCAGGTCTTCTGAAATCTGAGTGGAAGCCTTCCTAACCCCACAACTGTTGGCATTCTGTGTGCATCTAAAACCAGCATCATGTGGTTGATGCCAGGGTCTCCTGCCAGCTGTAACATTGGCTTGGCTTCCTTCTCTTATGGCTGTAGATGTCTGAGTGCCTGGATTGCTTACCACTAGGAACCAAACCCTGAGGCAAAACTTCCCTAGGCTGTCACCATTGTGAAACATGGTGCTGTGGGGCTCTCTTTTCAAAGCAAAGTCTTTCACTTTTGCAATTTTGAGACTGCAAAGGCTAGAGTCCTGCTGGTTCTTATGATGCCCTCATGCTGTCTTTCCTCTTACTCTTTTCCTTTTCAGCAGCCAATTTCTCCTCCATCTTTGTAGTCCACAACTTTAGTGGAGCTTCTTTCTGGACAAACATACAATGTTTTAAATCATTCTACTGGGCTCTTTGCTCTTATTCTCAACATTTATCTGATTAAAAGCACCCAACAGTAGATATGCCACTGCCTTTACATTAGATTGCCTTAAAAATTTCTTCTGCAAGATTAATTAGTCCAACACACTTAATCTCAGTCCTAGGAAAGTCTCTGGACATGAGCATAATGCAGACAAATTTTCTGCCAAAGCATAACACAAGTGGTCTGGAGTCCAACAGCCAATGAATCCTTCCCACAGATACCTCCTGAGCCTTGTCTTTACCAGCAGCATTTCTGTTAGCATTCTGGTTTTCTGAGGTCTGACCAGCTTAAAGCACTTCAGGGCTGTGCTGGCTTCAGCAGAGCACATCTAAAAAAGCACTTCAGGGCTGCTTTTTTAACCATCATCTCCAAACCTTTGCAACCTCCTGAAAACCAGTTCCAAAGACTCTTGAACCACATGACCAGGTGCAGTCACAGCTACGACTCCACTTCTCTGGTACCAAAATCTGTATTAGTGCTTACTAGAGAAGTAGATTTAATGCAAGATATACAAATACATAAGAATTTAAAAGATTGGTTTACTGTGGCCACCCACAGAGTCAGATGTAGAAGAGTGTAAAAAGTCTGTGTGCACACTGGAGATCTGAAGGATCTTGTTGAAAGTTCTGTGCTGGAAGACTGAAGGGTCCGCGCCAGAAGCCTGGTGATAACATTCAAGTTGAAAGCAAAGACTGGAGTTTTTCTGAAGAAGCAGAAGCAACCTTCCTTCTTGATTTCTCTTTTATACCATTCTGGTGACAGTCCTCTGTAGGATGTATCTTCCACGCACAGAACTATGTTAATCCAAGTTGGGTGTTTCTTACTTAAGTTGACATGATCAGTTAACTATCACACTTATATACCTTTATTTCCTTTAGGACTTGCCGTATATGTTGAAAATCAATGGTGAGAGGGAACATCTTGCTTTATTCCTGATATTAAGAAACCTTCATTAAATATGATGTTAGGGTTTTTTTTGTTTTTGGTTTTGTTTTAGCAGATGTTGTTTATAAAGTTGAGGAAGTTCCTTTCTGTTCTTAGTTGGCTGAGAGTTTTTATCATGTTGCATTTTCATTAAATGCATTTCTATCTCTATTTATACCATTATGTGATTTTTATTCCTTGGCCTGTTGATGTTGTGTTAATTGATTTTTGAATGTTGAACCAACTTTGTATACCTGGGATAAATCCTATTTTTTCATGGTGTTTACTTCATTTTATACATTGTTGGATTCATTTTGTTAATGTAGTGTTTATGATTTTGGGATCTTCGTTCATGAGACATAATAGTTCTGCATTTTTCTTGTAGGGTCTTTGATTTGAGTATTAAGGTAGTGTCTGCCTCGTAAAATAGGAAGAATGTCTTCTTCTATCTATTGGAAATGTTATAGAGAATTAATATAATTGTTTACTTAAGTGTTTGGTAGTGCTTACTAATGAACCTGTCTGGGCCTATTGCTTTCTGTTTTGGAAGACTATTAATTATTATTGCCAATTTATTTAATAGATACAGGCATTTAGACAATTCTATTTGACTTATATTATTTAAATGGAAACGTTTTTAGAAATAGGAGTACAAATGTTCCCTGCCTTATAATGACATGATTTTTTTTTAATCTTACCCTAAGTCATAAGCAGTAAGCATTCAGTGGAAATCATACTTTGAATTTTGATATTTTCCTGGGGTGGTGATACATGGTATAATATTCTTTTGTGATATAGGGCAGCAGTGAGCCCTAGTTTCTAGTTAGCCACAGAATCACAGGGTAAATAAATGATGCTCTACAATGTATCGTGGTGTTAAACTGCGATGTTTGGTGGTCAGGTGTATTAAATGCATTTTCAGCTTTGATATTTGCAAATTGTGATGGTTTTATGGGGATGTCACTTCATAAATTGAAAAGCATCTGTACTATGAACTTCTAAGAAAGGATTAAAGTTGGGTTGAAGAAAAGAAACTAGAAACATACAAGATAATTTCAAACAAGAAATGATGAGTTTCCTTTATTGGTTTATTTAGTCTGACTTACCACTGTTGTTTCTGCAAATAGATTTGTCATGGTATGATATGGTATTATACTGACATGTGTCACTATAATAGATATGTGGGTTAAACAGAGAATATGAAGAGTGGCCTTAACAGCCACATTGCTTTTATCATGTCAACTTCAAAGTCCTCAGTCCTTCACTATAAGGTCCCACTCTACATAACTTAGAATTTCTTTTCATACACTCTGTTCCTGGGTTTTCTGTATCCATCGCACTATTTTCTAACTTTATTAGTAAAATTAACAGTGGTTTATTATTGCTCATGAGTAAAATCCCATTTTCTGAGCTTAGTTTTAAAGTCTCTTCATGAGATTGTCATTGATGCACCATCCTTATATGGGTAAACTTCTATCTTTGATGATACTGCCCGTTCATTGTCAGAAGGTTTTTCCCTTCATCCAGTGTCATTTCTGTAATAGTTCCCTAAGTTACTACTCTAGATTGGAGTGCTCTCCTTTCTATCTTTTGTTCAAATGACAGTGTAATTTGATTGTTTATATAAATCTATCCTTTCTTCATCTCTTTCCTCCTTTCAGATAGCTTTACATATTGAGTTGTAATATACCCTACCATAAAATTGAATTGTCGTAAGTGTGTAAATAATGACTTTTAGTAAAGTTACAGTTGTATGAATATAATTGTAATTTGGTGTTAGAACATTTTCATTATTCCAGAAAGATCCCTTCTGTTCATTTATATCCTGTTCTGCTCCAATACCTCCTACGTCTAATGTGATTTGTTTCTATACATAAATTTTTTGTGGGCACTTCATAGAAATAAAATCATAATATATAGCCTTTGGCTCCTTTTACTTAGCAAATATTTTGAGTTTTGTTCATGTTGTAGCATGTGTCAGTATTTCATTCCTTTTCATTGCAGAATAATGGTCCCTTGTGTAGCTATATGACATTTTATTATTCATTCATTGGTTGATAAACTTGTCAGTTGCTTGACTTTTTGGCTGCTATGAATCATTCTCTTATGACCATTTACATAAGGTCTTTACCTGTGTGCACCTGTTTTTCATTTTTCTTGACTCAATACATAGAAGGGGAATTGCTGAGTTATAAGGAAAGTTTGTGCTTAACTTTTGAAGAAATTTCTCAACTGTTTTTCTAAGTGCCTATACCATGTTGAATTCTTATCAGCAGGGCATAAAGATTCCAGTTCTTTGCTACATCTCCACCTCATAACCTTATCTTGATCTTCTTGTGGTTGGTTCCTTTTGTTCCATATTCCTTTGGTCTCTCTCCTCTTCTCTTCTCCCTTTTCCTCCTTTCTCTTCTCTAAGTAGATCATAAACTACTCTAGGAAGAGATGATAGCTCATTTTAAAAAGTGCTTTTGGAATTTGGAGCTGTTTCCACCAAAACATATTTTATTTAATAGGTCAGAACTGAATTTGTTGTTAATTTTATTCCAAGGATTACTATTCTGGTCATGTGAGTTTTAATTTATGTATTTATTTAATGTATTGTGCTATTTATATTTTTATGCACTTAAACAGGATACTGTTAAAGTCAGTTTTGCAATAACATCATTATGTGGTCCTTCAAGAGACTTAATATACAGTGTTACATAATAAAAACTATAGTGCTTATGAGAGAAGTGACATTATGGTAATAAAATTCAAAACTTTGTTGATGATTGATTTTCATAAAGCTAGAAATTTAACAGAAGAACAGTACAGTTTCACACACATTAAGTACCTAAGAAATACCTAAGAAGTTCTGCAAATATGGTACTTTTTCTTGATAAGATCTGAAGTTTGTGCAACCTTCATAAAAGTTGCAGCTTCTGAGTTACTGTGAAGTGATGGAAGGGAGGTTATCTGATATAGGATAGAAAATTATAACACCAGGTAAGGATGGATGCGTCTGATATATGAAATGAGGTAGCTAATAGATGTTTGAGATTTGTGCACTTTGTGTATTGCTTGGTTCATTTGGCTTGTTTGCAATTTTCCTTATTTACCTGACTTTTTATTTTGGGAGATAAAATCATGCAGAGCAAAGTAATATTCCTGTTATACTAAATTATCCTTGATTAATCAAATGCAGTGGAACAGATTTGCTCTCTCAAAACCAACTGTATAGAAGAATTAGAATGTATCTTGAGGAAAAGACTTTACTCTTTATCAGAGAGCATGTTGTTACTTCTTTGTCTTCATGAGTCACATTATAATTCTTGAAAGTCCAAATGATCACAGAGTATTTTCTTTGTAGGAAACTACATTCTGCATTATGTGGCATCACAACCTAAGTTGGCTCCCTTTGTCATCCAAGCTCTTGTTCAAGTTATTGCTAAAATTACTAAATTGGGATGGTTTGAAGTTCAGAAAGACCAGTTTGTCTTCAGAGAAATTATTGCTGATGTAAAAAAGTTTCTTCAGGTAAGAAGACATTATTAAACTGTCACCACTTAATATTTTAGTTTAGAATATTGCTGTTCTTAAAGCTATATAATTTGTTTTTTGGCTACCATTATATTATCATTTATTATTTATCCTTAGATCCTTTATTATTTGTTAGTAGATGAAAATCATGCTGTTATATAAGTTTCACACCAGAAGGATGCAAATAATCATGTTTTCTAAGTTCAAAAGTTTATATTATTTCATTTATGGCAAATATATGTACTGAATATATATAAAGCATGTATATAATGCTTTTAGTATATTAGCTAATTTTCATCACAACTTTTTTTTTCTTTTTATTGAGTTTATTGGTACAGTCTAGGTATACAATACAGCTACATTCATCATTGGGATCTTGTACATTTTCATAATAGGTCTTGATTCTCATTTTCTCCCTTTGTCCCTGCCCTCCCTTCACCCCCTCCTCCCCTCCCCATTTACAAACACTTTATTTCCATTTTTTCAGTTTCTCATATTTTTTTCCTCTCCCTTATTACCTTTCCCCCACCCTTCCCACTTTCC